CATAGACGACCTGAGCCCAATCAAAGGTTAGAATTGACATGCCCAGCCCTGTCGTCTGGCCAAAGAGCTGATTGACAACAACGTTTGTCGGTACGATCCAGCAGATAAAGGTAAACGTGCTAAGACCGGTGAAAAGGTAGCCCGGAGCAAAATACCAGATTGCCCCGCCGGCGAAAACAAAAATGAAGAAACGGAGGCGCGTTATCGACCAGCCATCCGCGACGGCGTTGGCGCGCGAGTGTAAGGTGGATAGTAGCGCAGCATTCGACAGAACCTGCGGCCAAATCATTGTCGCCGGTCCCACGAGCCAGCGCGAAGCCATGCCTGCCAAGCCAAAGCCGAACAGTTGTGTGGTGATACACAGTAGAATCTCGAACCCCCCTTGCGAAGGCATGTTATAGAACTTCACCATCGCCTCAATTATCTGCGTCGCAGCGGCCGATCCGAAGGAGACATTGGCCATGATGGTGATCAAAGCATGCTCCTTGATGTTGAAGTGGCGGTCCGGATTGAGCCACCCCAATGGCAGCCATTTTGCCCAGGCACAGCCAACGGGAAATGCGACCAGCTGTGCAACCAACGCGCTGATGGTTACACTGGGCTGCCTCAGACTAAAGAACTGATTCAATCCACTCCCCACCTAAGGCTAGGTCAGCGTTACACGCTCCGCAACACAGCTGCTCCGCCCTTGACGTACAATCGTAAATACCACCCCAATCGTCCACATCCGAACCGTGTTAACCGGCAGATGTACATCGTCCACCGGTCGAACGACCGCCCGAACCTCTGGGAAGGGAGAATCATCGGCATCGTAAGGGAGGATCTCGGCGGCATCGCGGTCGCTTAGAATGCTGTAGTTGCTCCCATCGATCTCCAACGACGGTTCCTAGCGACGATCATTAGATAAAAGAACTGACGGTAAGAGTATGGAGGAAGTGATTGGCCCAATATCTGCAGGGCAGACGGTGTGCGCCACGTGGAAAGCGAAGGATGGTCAGTGGGCGAGCTAAGTCAGTCTAACCCACCTGTAAGAACTCCTTTTGCTGGGACTTTTCGTCCCGGTGCGGGATGTCCGCCATAATACGAAGGACGTATTATGCTGGTAAGCAGATTTAAAGTAGGGTTGTTCGCGCTGGGTCCAGTCAATGAAGGTCCAGGATCTTGTCTAACAGTCTAACAGGGGGGTTGAATGAAGGTGGAGTGGACTTCGCCCTCGATGCGGTTTAGTGGCTCTCGTGACAGGCGAGCCCACGCGAATCTTTTATTAAATTTTATTATTCTTCTACCTGGTTGAGTAATAAACTCTCGCTCTGAGCCGTGAGGACCAGGTATCAATACCAACGTGTCCGGTAACGGCCCATACGACAAATACAGATCGGACAACCCCTGGCCTCGTCATCCCCGAAAAAAGGCGATGGTTTGAGAAAGGAGGAGATCTTTGCTACCCGAGTGGAGAGGATCCACCTGGAATTCGTTATCGAATTTTGTTCCTTTTCTGGTTTTTTTTTCTGATTCCCCTTCTATGTCGTTGGGTGACTTCTTATAGGTACTGAATGCAGGTTAAATAATCCGGTGAAGTATTCCCTCACCGTCATCGGTCTAGCTTTCTACATTAAGTTTAGTCGACGACGATGAAATGTAAGTCAGAATACATGTGCATCGGAGGAATCGATGGTCGACCGCCTTGGGTATGGCTGGGCGGTTCAGTCCGTCTTTTTCCTCATCGAATATTCGCCGAAGGTTCCATAGTGCGTCGGGACGAACCGCCTACAGTCATGCCACGATAGAAATCAGCCTGTGAGCTTTGATAATGCCACAAGATGACGAGTCCCTTGTAAACCCTTTTCGCTCTTGGGACACAATATCACCCTGATATTATTGGCGAACAATGAGCGTGAAACTTCTCTATCTGGCGTAGACGTTGTTTGTGGTTCTCCCTCGCTGCTCCCAGCGGGTACAGCCGACCATCGGATCTGAGCGCTTCTATCCGACTCCAGCAAACCATTCGAGAACGACACCCCAAACTGATCATCGCTAAGAGATGGCTGTTCCATCGGTTCCTTATAAGAGAAAGATGGTGGCGCTCGTAGAATGATAAGAGCAATGAATATCTTGGTCCCTTGAGGGCTTCACATCCAGCTACCCCACGATTTATATGTCGACATATCTATCCTTCAACATCGCCTCTTAAGATTCTCCTAAACTTCATCCACCATAAGTCTTAACCCCCTGGAGACCTTAGTGTAGGTGGTCTACGCCATTGCACACCAAGGAAGGCAAATCCGCCGGTACGCACTGAATCTCTTCTCTGACAACATGGGGGATCTTGGCCACCCCGTCGATATCTCCGGTGTACCTTTCGCACAACGCCCCATCATCATCTTGGGTGCTGGAATTATTGGATGTGCTGCCGCAAGACAACTTCTCCTCAATGGATTTCCCGTAGTCTTGGTGGCGGAGTATCTTCCCGGAGACCAGAGTATCTTTTATGCGTCTGCTTGGGCCGGAGCAGCATGGCATGCGGCTGGGGGCATTAGCCCTGAATACCGATACTTTCAAGCGATCACCCATCGACATCTGCTAAAGATGGCGCAGGAAGACCCTGAGTCAGGGGTTTGTATTGTGGACACACGCGAGTATCTTGAAGACCCCCCAACCGAAAATTCTGCGATCTGGGGGAAGACTGTCGTATCGAAGGTGAGGTGGCTATGTCGTTTCACAGGGGGAACGTTACATTGCTGACAGTGGAGATAGTTTCGTGACCTAGAACCCGGTGAATACCCCCCTAATTTCTCCTGTGGGTGGGCATACGATACCCTCGTCACCGACCCAACACGCCATATGCCATACCTGGGAAAACAAATCAAGGCGCTCGGCGGTCAGTTCATTCGGAAACGGGTCGAATCTCTTCAGGAGCTGTACACAATGTTTCCCGAATCGAGCATTTTCATCAATGCAAGTGGTATAGGGAGCAAAACGTTGAGTGATGTCCAGGATGAAAAGTGCTTTCCTGAACGTGGACAAAACGTGTTTTTGCGCACCGACAATTGTCAGACCATGTACTTCCGAAACGGCAAGGAATATACTTATGTCATTCCCCGGCCATTGTCGAAAGGTGTCGTGCTGGGTGGAGTAAAGCAAAGCGATAACTTGTAAGTTTGTTCTTCGCCTTGTGGTACAAGATTTTCGCCCAGAGACTGACTGATAAATAGGTCTCCCGAAGTGGATATGGAGATAGCCCGAGATGAGATTGCACGCGCCCATCGTCTTGCTCCCGAGATAGTTCCGGAATATCCCCCCGAAGATGCGCTCGATCACATCATTGGCATCCGCCCGTCCAGGAAAGGCGGTTTCCGCCTTGAATCCGAAAAAGTGGGAAACCGCATTGTTCTATCCGCGTATGGATTCGGTGGGGGTGGTTACGCCTTCTCATACGGTGTGGCCGATGCTTTGGCAAAGATGGTGGAAACGGCTGAGCGGGAGAATGTGATTCTGTAGCGCGGCTCATTGATTTCTTTTATTGAGTCAGCTGATGCATCTGCGTAGGGGGGCTGTTTCAAACTGGACTGGATGTTACGTTGTTTACATTTTGCTCATTAGCGACAGGATGATGATGATACCAGTATTATCGCAAGTAGTCTGTCAATTTCACAGGCAGCTGATGATAATTAATGACATTAATTATACAAAATGAGCGTTGTTATTCTTCATCTTTGCTGATTTATTCAGTTTCAATTCCAATTTCCATCCCTCTTTCGCTATGTCGTCTATCATACGGCCACATGGAAACTGTGGCCTCAGGTTGTCGGGTGAACGGGGCCTTCACGAGATAATACCTTCTCGGTCAGTGGATACCCATCCTACTATTAGTAACGGTAGGGCCTCACTTCTCCTTTGACGGGCGACATACTTCTAGAAGAACTATGGAAACACAATTGATTTGTGGCCCTGGACTTCATTAGTCACTAGTACTTGTGAATCCGGCTATCCTTTCCGCAAGGGGAAGGACAGCGTCTCAGGTGATTCTTGTTTCAAGATAACCTTCTTTCTGTTCGTCCTATCACGATGCTCGAGGGCATGAAACTCCGGAGTACTATTGATGAGGCTTTACATGGGTGGATCCCAGAGTGAATAAATCTCCAAGTATCGAATCGATGACGTCGAAGCATGACTGCATAGAGACTGGAAAGTCCATGCCGAAGGGAAAGGATTGATAGTCAATGCCACGAGGTGAGATGAAGACGATCGCCGCCAGACCGCCACGAAGAATAGTTCATTCTACGGGGGGGCGAATGAGGGTTTCAGGGGTATCTAAAAATACCATCTTGACGACCATGTTACAATCGGATCTCGAGAGGAATGAGTTGTACACGTACTTTTGCTTGTCAGCATTTGAGCGTGGCTGAATAATCGCCTTGGGAAAGAGGGAAAGAGGCCGGTGGGATTCTAGAACCTGGACCAGCGAGGGAGAATCAGTGGTTCCATTCCTTGATTTGGCCCCATCGCATTCTCGCTGGTGGATCCGCGGTTCTGAAGGAAATCAGGAATCGGTTGGACTAAGGTTGGAGGGAATGCAAACATTGGTGGTTTTGGCATGCAAGCAGAAGCAACGTGACTGGATGGTTGGGCGCGTGCCCCGCAAGTCCGGGCTGGTCGGCCGCCCACTAGAGGACGAAAGCGCATGGTCGATCGCCTTCCGTTGACGTCGGTGGTTTGGCCTTTTGCCTTAACTCGGCCTCCCCTAATGAGGAAGATTTTCTCTCTGTTCCAAAGCCAACATGAAGGTTTCAGATCCTGATCGCTTTTCTTTTCCATCTCGATCTGGCTTTCGGCTTTCTTGGGTGAATTTACTGGTATGAACGGGTTTCACGAGGTCGCAACGTAACCCCAGATCGTGTCGGATCGGGTGAATCAACCCAAACCGCGTGCTAGCTTTCCCTCACCTTGGATATTTTTGCTCGCCCAGTCTTATTCCGCCACGCCTCTCGTGGGAAGCAGGGATGTCTCTCAGAGATCGATTTCTCAATCTCAGCATGCACGATCGCGCCCAAACCGTGAACCTGCCGCTGATCACGACGCCACCAGAGGACAATGATATGGTGTTGAGCGAACTCAAAGGCGACCCGAAGCCATTGCTACGGACGAATGACAACTGCGCCTCAGACGCCGAATATGTCATCCCACAGCAGGATGCCTCGTTATGTCGCATTTATCGCTACACCCCAATCCCGACTATCGTCGTTGACGCGAACCTATCCATAGTGGAAGTGTCCGACAGTCACCTCGCCCTCTCGGGTCAATCCAGGGATACGTTGCTCAATACTTGCATATGTGATCTCTCCCCTTCCATAATCCCTGTGCCGGATATTGCATCCTTATATGGTGCGATACGAGCGGCTATCTCAACGAAAGAAATCCAGTTGATTGAAGATGTTCATCTCCGTGATAAGAAGTCGTACTTTCGACTTCAGGTTACACCAATCTATCAAGGCCGGACATTAATATATATAGTTTTCGAGGCGCATAAGGACACCAGAGACCATTCAGATACCCACGATATACACCATGCATATGTGAATGAAACGTACAAAATATTGGTGGACACCGTTAAAGACTATGCTATCTTCATGCTGGATACCCGTGGCAACATTACAACTTGGAATCCCGGCGCTGCTATCATGAAGGGATATTCTGCCTCGGAGATCATCGGTAAGCACTTCTCAGTGTTTTACAGTCCCGAAGATCGGCGGAATGATAAACCCGGGAGGGGCTTGGTGGTTTGTTTGCGGGATGGAAGGATGGAGGATGAAGGCTGGCGCTACCGTCAAGATGGTTCTCGATTCTGGGCCAACGTTATGATGACCCCTGTTTACGAGTTTGGCCGTCATGTTGGATTCGTGAAAGTGACGCGTGATCTGACAGAACGGAAGGCGGCTGAGGGGCGTCTGATCGCAGCTTTCGAAGAATCATCAAGACTCAAGACTGACTTCTTGGCTAACATGAGTCATGAGATTCGGACGCCAATGAACGGCATGCGGCTTGCGTTGTCTATGCTGACAGACACCGAGCTCGATAGCAACCAACGTGAATATGCATCTATTGTCGAGGATTCTACTTCCGTGTTGCTACAGATCATCAACGATATCCTTGATTACTCGAAGCTATCCTCAGGGTCATTCTCCCTAACATCGGACATTGTGGATGTTGCCAGCATCGTGGGCGCAGTTGCGCGAAACTGTAAATCTTGTTTAAAACCAGGCGTCACCCTCAGCTGTTCCATTCCGCCCAACTTTCCTCAAGCACTGCGTGGAGATCCTCTACGATATCGCCAAGTACTCCAGAATCTTGTTGGCAATGCGGTCAAATTCACAGAGAAGGGGGATGTCAAAATATCTACGTCATTCGCTGTAGACGCCCAGGATCCAACGATGTACAATATATCGACGGAAGTAGTCGATTCGGGGGTTGGTGTACCTGGAAGTGCGCTCAACACCTTGTTCACGCCATTCACACGGTTTGCGGATTCGACGAGACGGAGATACCAAGGGACAGGGCTCGGTCTCTCTATCTGCAAAAGCCTAGCGGAACTTATGAATGGAAGTGTAGGCTATCGGCCGAATCCGGATGGACCGGGTAGTGTATTCTGGTTCACGGCTAAAATGGGGCGGACGGATACGCGAGTTCCAGTCAAGAGTTCTGGCGTGCTCCCTGCTGACAGCCCAGAAAATCTTATCAAAAAGCTGAGAGAGGTCGCGCCCCGCAAACATATTCTGCTTGTGGAGGATAACTTGGTGAACCACATGGTAATGCTCAAGCTCCTGCAGAGTTTTGGGTTCGAGCGGATTGATGCTGCCTGGGATGGCGCAGAGGCCGTCAGGCTAGTGAAACAAACGCCACTCTCGTACAATGCAGTACTGATGGATATCAGCATGCCGGTTCTAGATGGTCTGGAGGCGACATCTCAGATCCGGAGTATGAAGATCGATGTGCCTATCATTGCGCTCACTGGCAATGCTTTGAAAGGCGACGCTGAAACCTATCTAGCCAAGGGCATGAACGACTATTTGGGAAAGCCTGTGCATCGCAATCACCTTATACAGGTGCTTTGGAAATGGCTAGGCACATGAAGACCGAGTCCCTCACCGAGATATTCAACCACGGCGTGAATACGTCAGCATTTCAGGAACCACTGGTTTGTGGATCATGGGGTTATCGTCAATTTTGACCCCCTCGCAGCCTTCGCCAGTGAACTCACCGGGCCCTCATTAGCCCCATCAGTATACTTGAGCTGGTGGTACTGATCCAATTAAATGCTGGATGAGTGGATGGTTCGAGAGACCGTGTTGGTGATACCCACCTGGCGACAGGGTCCCATCGTCTAACAGACGGGGCACTTGTTGCCCAAAACAAGGCGTAATACGGAGCCCGGAAGGGCTTCTTAGTCCCTCTGCTTCGTGTTTCAGGTCCCCACTGCCGAATTATTTCCGACGGAACTGACCGGAAACCAAATATATCCATCTGAGACAATTATTGCACGCGTCGTTTTGGACTACTGTAGTACCGTTTACCGTATCAATGCTATCAATCCTACCGTATTACACATTGGATCACGCTCCACTATTTTTTCTCACAACGTCGCGCGCGATGGAAGCTTTACCAACTCCAGGCTTCTGGGTCGATAGGACTTGTATCGGAGGAAACTCTGCTTAACTACATGCAGTTCCCCATCCCGGGTTTCTTCGATTTATGTCCAACATTTAGCGGAGTTGCATCGGAGCAATCGAAATGGTCCATCCATCCCGGCAGCCCTGTTCATTGGCTAAGCGAGAGTGAGATACAACACGAGTATATCGAGCTAAGGTGGAGGGGCTGAACAGATTTGCAGTGAGGCTTCGATCCTCAATCTCGCATATCGAAGCTGCCTATCACATAACCTTCCTGACCGAGCCTGGGCGGCATAAGCTTGATGAAGCTGTCGCTCCAAGTCCAGTATGATATGCTGAAGGACATTTTTCGCTGCGTTACTAGGCACCTTAAGGAAGACACCGAAAACCTGGACACCATTCACAATCGTCGCCTTTTCTCTTTCTGCCTCCTTTTGCTCCTTTTCGTATGAGGAAAGGTCGTTAGTCGTTAGTGAGGCCCATGTGCATCGTATACAAGCGAAAAATCCCTCCAGTGGCCCTCTCCGACTCGGAAACCCTAATGCTACAGTAGATCTGTATCATAGCACTCATGGACACGTGAGATCGTTAACAACTTATTTAACCGTCCTAGACATTATGAAGACCTCCACGACCAGTACTCCACTGGTTTGATATCGAAGTGGGGGCCCGTTTTGGAGAGGGGTTGCTTTTTGGTTTCTGCAAGCTGTGAGCGAGAACAGAGAGATACGTGGGATTTGTTCAACATCGTCATTATTGACGATCTGTCCAGGGGTGGGACCTGTATAGTAAGGTTGTTATTTTATTTTCGAAGAACGCCCTGTTTAGGGCTTCTAAATAGGGCTTTCCTGGAGCTTAAGTTGACGTAGTTTAACGCTGGTTTCCGGAGTCTATTCTTGCTCCACTCCTGCCAATTGCCACCATATTTTCTAATTTCCAAGAACCCGTAACTCCCAATCTATGTTCCCTCATGTGCATACTATCGTCGTTTAATCGCTTGGACCTGGGAACCCAACATTCTATATATTGAACCCTCTTACAGGGAATGTTGCTGCGCGCAGAGGTCCCAAATGACGATCATCTGAAGGAATGATCCGACATTGTAGCAATTGGGTCTCACCAAGTGATATCCAAGAAAAAACATGGCACATGTATTTACATCCTCATCTGCTTATTTACACAATCTCCTTGTTCACAGCCACGTTTAGGGTGTAATAGGTCCCAGATTTCCAGCAATCTGACAGCAGTGTTCGTTTACGAGTCGCCCGACTGCTCTGATCCTAGAGCCATCCAAAAGGGCGTGATGAGTAGAGTCAATATGCTGTACCCGCAATACAGGGCAACGAGCTGTCCACCACTCCGTCGCCCCGGCCGCGGCGGATTCGGGCGTTATGAGGCAGAGACATTCGCCATGATATTCCGGTGGCTGAATCGGTTCGCCCGCCAGTGGTGCAACCTTGTTGAAATGATCCAGGATCAGTTGCTTTTGGTTTTCTCCGAACAATGTCAAAGCGTAGTTGATCTCTTTTTCGCTCTCATTGTCATGTACAGAGTTCGTGTAAGTTGCCGCGTCCAACAAGACGAGAGAGGCTGGGTATTCGCCGTGTCGGACTCGCCACAGCGAGGCCATCTCATACGCGATCAATCCACCAAGAGAGTAGCCCCCAAAAATCAACCCATGCCCTGGAGAAATCTGCTTCTCTACATGGTTGAGATAAAGCTCTGCCCATCGGGGTATTGTCTTGGGACCATCCGATCGGCCAAAGTACGGATCATGAATGACCAAGACATCAAAGATATCGTCTAGGAACGGGATCAAGGGCGAAAAGATACTGCCCTGTCCCCAAAGTCCGTGAATCAGTACGACTGTGAGTCGGGAGTGTAATCGACGATGATGTTCAAAGTGCCAAGTGGGCTCGTCGGAGAGTCCTTCGGTGCTCCTTGTGGGGATTATATCTCCTAGCGCAGCCGGGGTGGGCGAGTTTAGGAGATCAAAAACGTAGAGCCTGCACATCAGTCGACGGTTGATTCGGGATACCAGTCGCGCAGCCTGAAGAGAATGGCCACCGAGATCATAAAAGCTGTCGGTAATACCAACTTCCTCACCCAACACGCTGGTAAACTCCTCGCATAAGGCGCGCTCTACGTCGTTCCGCGGCAACATGCGTGCAGCCGATGATCTATTGGCCTTCACGATGTGTGCACTCTTTGTAAGCGCTCGGCGATCGACTTTGCCGTTATCATTTATGGGCATCTTGTCCAGCACCCGGATCACGGAGGGGACCATGTAGGATGGCAACTTGACCTTGAGCTTGTTGCGCAGCTGCTCTTCGACCCTTTGTTTCAGCCGCTGCTGGAGCGGCCGGTTGGTCAATGAGTGAAAGGCCCGGCCATGATGGTCGGTAGGGAAGCGAAACAAGACCCTGGCTCCGGCGATTCTAGGTGTATAGCGGTGGAACACGGCATCCAAGCCGCCACTCTGAGAGGCCTGCCGGGCCCAGCTGACTTCCACAGAAAAATTGGCGAGATGGGCCACTTCGTGAAGGTCGACAACCGAGAGTGACGAAGTACTCCTTGCTGCTTCGTGGCAAGACCTAACCCAGTCGTTGCCATCGAGCTTCTCGTCCGCTGCACTGTCTAGTGACTTTAGAACACATCGCTCAAAGATGGTTTTGCTGTACGGAATGTTGCTCACCGCTGCGACGGCGGTGATCGGAAGGGATTCCAAAAGTTGTAGGAGCGACTGACGGTCTAGCTGGTGCGACACAAAGTCGATCCACTGCCCCTCGTCGACCTGGTAGATGGGCTGCGACCATTCCTTCTGGTGTTTTCTGTATATCACCGCCGCGTATCGATAACAGCTGAGCTCGTTGGTTGCCCTCATCCTCTTGGGTAGGATCTCGACGTGGTCTACAAGATCCGGCAGCCGAGTCTCCAATGCCGTGAAAAATGCGGGATCAATAAGTAGTTCCTCTTCCGCTCGTTCTATCGCTGTCATATTTTGTCTGATCGCACCCGGCGTTGCTGTACTGGTGATATGTAGTGCCTGTGTCACTTGGAATTCTCGATAGAGAGCGTAGGACCGCACGTCGCCGAAGAACAGACGCTCGACGCTGTCCAAACGAAGGAGGTCCTCAATTGCCTTCAGTAGATACTCGGGAGTAGGAAAATACTGCGCCGTTGAATTGATCACGACTAGGTCAGGCGAGTTAAGCCTGTCAGTACGAGAGACGTCCGTGACCGTGCCGACTCGTACCTCGACCTTTCCGCGTAACGATGGTACCGATTGGGCCGCCTTGTTCGCGAACGTTGCCGCTTGTTCAGCAAGCTCAAGACCGACATAGCTTTGCAGAGATTTGGGTAGATTGAATAGGATCATTCCACTGCCTGTGCCCACTTCTAAGACGTTGCGGGGCTCACCACCGTCGAGGATAGCCGTTATAGTGTCATCCAGCCACTCTTCCATCTCATTTCTGTCGATTTCACTCCCATCGTACATGGATGTCCATCCAACAAAGTCTCTCCCTAGCTTACTAGGGTCTATGTTGTCGATGCCAGCATACGCGGTTACGTCAAAGTGCTCCCTCCACGTTTCAACCTGTCCTTGCTCACTGTTGCTGTCCACTGTCTCCCATTCAGAGAAGCCCTGACCGTCAGAGATGGTGATAAAGCTAACCAACTCCGGCTCCTGACCCTCCACGTCGCGCACTACTGTCACAGCGTCATCGACGGACTCATAGGCAAGCAATGCATGTTCCACTTCTCCTAGCTCGATACGGTGTCCTCGTATCTTGACCTGGTAGTCCATGCGGCCAAAAAACTCGAGTTGGCCATCCATAGGCCGGTATCGCACATAATCTCCCGTTCGATAGGCCTTCACGGACACACCGTCGATTACCACGCGCACGAATCGATCGCGATCCCTCTCCGGATCGGTGTATCCTCTGGCTACACCGTCCCCAGTGACGACGAGCTCTCCTAAGACTCCGATGGGCACTAGACGCTGCTGCATATCCATGACATATGCGCCTGAATTGCTGACGGCCCGCCCAATGGGCACACCGTTTACACACCTTTCTTCCGGGAGTATACGGTATAATGTGCTAAGCACTGAATTCTCTGTAGGCCCATAGGAATTGTAAACCCCACCTTTGACCAATTGAAGTATCTTGGATGCATCCTGTGCGTCCAAGCGGTCTCCAGCTGTAAAAAGTACTCGAAGTGCTTGGATCGTGGTGGGAGAAGCAACGAGGCATTCCTTCAAGAAGGCCGGCGGGAAAACAGCAACTTCGACTCTCTCTCTGTTGAACAAGTCGCCCAGCCTGACTCCGTCTAAGGCAGTCATGTCATCGATGCAGATTATTGTTCCTCCGTTCAACAAAGGGGTGTAGATCTCCGACGTCGACGTGTCAAACGCGATATTGGTCATGTGTGCCACTGGAACAGCCCCCCAAATTCGCGACAGTACGTCGGCTGCCCGTAGTATGCCACGATGCTCAACCATAACTCCCTTAGGTTTACCTGTCGATCCTGATGTGAACATAACATAAGCTAGACTAGTAGCCGAAGGAGCCACAGAGGCCGCTGCCAGTCCATTGCAGGCCCGGTCAGCCTGAGACGAACGGTGGAGGATGTCGGCAATAGAGAGGAACTCGACATCAGCTGCCTGAATAGCTGGAGCTGGCACATCTTGTCCGAGAAGAAGCAGCTTGTGGCCCGGGACGGCAGAGAGGATGGCCTCGATGCGCGACTTCGGAAGTCTGATATCCAGCGGCATATACGCAAGGTTCGCCTTCAGGATCCCCAGGAACGCTACAATTGTCTGGCATGACCGTGGGGCAAGAACGCCAATAAGTGTTTCAGCAGGGATACCAGCCTGTGTAAGCCAGTTGGCGAGCCTCCCCGATCTTTGGTCTAGCTGGGCATAGGTCAGCTCGCCGGCGGAGTCTTTAACAGCCACGACGCTAGGAGAAGCGAGGGCCTGGCGCTGGAACGCCTCGACCACGCTAGAATCGCGCGCATACATTGTGCGCTTGATCTCAAGAAGACCCATCTCGCGCAGCATGGAGCTGCCATCGGTCAGGTGTAGAGAGGCGACCGGTGTCTGAGGCTCCTCAAGGCCTCGTTTGAGAACCTCGTAGAAGACTGCAACCATCCCGCTGATTGTCCGTTGATGGTAAAGTTCTGTCGCGAATAGAACAGTGCCACGGATGCACTCTGCTTCTTGGAACAGGTGAAACTCTAGGTCTAATCTCGAGCCCGGCACGACGCTCAGCTGCTCCATCTCCAGGCTATCGAACGTGGATCGCCCTAGGTCCTTTTTAGAGTGCAAGGAGAATACTAGTTGAACAACAGGATTAGTCGACCCGTCTCTAATATCTATCGGCAGCTCCGAAACGATCTTCTCGAATGGGACATCTTGGTTCGCATGTGCGTCCGCTGTCGTTCTGTGCACTTGGCGGACCAACTGTTCGAAAGATTGATCATCTTCGATCCGGATTCTAATGCATTGTAAATTGGCAAGGAAGTCAATCATGCCCTCTGGTCTTTGCCCGTTCCGGCTCTCCTTCAGGGTGCCCACAGTCGCATCGTCTACACCAGTAAGACGGTAGTGTGTCGTTCTAAACGCAGTGAGCAGAACAGTAAAAGGGGTCACTTCGTGTACTTTGCAGAAGTCCTGTAGGTCTCTATATAGCGACCCACTGAGTTCAACCTGTTGCTTTTCCGCTGCTCCTGACGGTATAGTCTGTCGTGGCTTGTCGCAGAGAAATCTGGCTGGATGGCTTCCTTCTAGTTGTTTGACCCAGTATTCAACCTGCCGTTGGTGCTCCCCTGTCTGTCCTTGCTGCTTCTGCCATACGACAAAGTCCCGAGATTGGATAGGTAACGGTTCCGCTGGTGAGAGCAAATCCTGAATGCCCGAAGACATCTTTAGACTCGTGAACCCGGGGGTAAAGTTCAAGGGGGAAGTTCCTATACTGGGTTTAGATGATGATGAAGGGAGAGGCGAGGACTGGCAGGGGTAATTTTGCAGATGAATTTCATTCGTCACTTCGCTCTTGAACATAGTACCCCGGCGCTATGCTTGATAAGAGACGCTGTAAGAAGAGTTCGTAGGCCTCTACTATGCCAACGGTATATGACTCCTACAGGTTTCGGCTTCTCTCGGCGCACAACAATGAATTCGGTCTCCATCGGGTGCCGAATCGAAGTACCGAATGTTGTATAAGCGCCGATACGGGCCTTATACGAGATATATGGCGTGGTCTTGCGAGGTGCATCCATTTGAGTTCTACATACAGTCAAGGCCAACCCTAGATTCTCTTCGCACGCCCCAATGCTTTTGTCCGAATTATATACTTTGGCTTGTTGACCCTCTATCATCTGCTCCGCCATGGGTGTTGTCGTTTGGAATTACACTGTCAGTCCAGGCTCTGCATGCCTACCATCTCCCAAAACAGCCCTCGTCTTGCCATAAGCTGTTTGGAGTTGCCAATCTCGACTATAGATCCTTCGCGCATCACGCAAATTATGTCGGCGTTCATGACTGTGCTCAAACGGTGGGCGACCATAATGGTAGTACGGTTCTTCTTGACTGCATCAATGGCCGCTTGTACGATAGCCTCCGACTCACTATCTAGTGCCGACGTGGCTTCGTCTAGTAGTAAAAGCTTAGACTTGCGCAGGAATGCACGGGCGATAGTGATGCGTTGTTTCTGCCCGCCACTGAGCATGCTGCCGCCGGTGCCCACTATCGATGATAGCCCATCACTACACGTAAGATGTGGTTAGATCTTATCCATTTGGGGCTTTTCACCTGGGGAATAGGATACTGACGGGAGGGAGTGAACAAAGTCGAGAATATTAGCTTGTCTGCACGCGGCCAGAATGTCATCGTCGCTGACTTGTCCTACTAAATCCACCGCAATATTCTCTCTCATGGTACCAGAGAAAACAACAGGTTCCTGGCTGATTAGTGAAACTGTCGATCGATACGTTTTTAAATCCAGGCTACGTATATCATGTCCATCAACGAGGATCTGCCCCTGATGGAATGGGTAGAATCGTGCGAGAAGAGAGAGGCATGTGCTTTTCCCACTCCCACTTTGGCCTACCAAAGCTAGCGTCTGCCCGGGCTCAACAGTAATCGTGAAGTTGTCCAAAGCACATGTGTCTGGCCTGGAGGGATACGAAAAAGACACGTTCTTAAAGGCCACTTGACAAGGTTCAAGGCCGTGAAGAAGCTCGTGTTCGGTTCTCTTGTGTTCCAATATACCAGACTCCGCAGGCCGCCACTGCACTTCATTCTCGGGGTCATTGAGTTGCACTATATACTGAAGGTCCTGGGCCGCATGCATCGCCTTACCGGCATCGGGTGCAAAGGTAAATATTGAACCGGCAATCTGAGAGCCCGATATGAGACAGACAAAGCATACATAGACCTGAAAATCAGAGTATTCGCGGTTGGCAATCAGTGTTCCACCGTACCAGAAGGCAAGGGCCGCGCATAGATACACAACGGATTGCGACGCAGCATAGAGTCCTGACGCAATCAGTATGGACTGGAGAGACTTCGCTGCTCTCTTTGCTAGAAATCCGTCATAAAGCATAAGAGCCTGCTCCTCAAGACCTAATGAAGCGACAGTTCGCATAGAGCGCACTATTTGTCCTGCGTATGCGGCCGAGTCCACTCCACTTTGCCTGATACGAGCATCGAATGCTGCCAGCACCTGGAGGCGCAACCAACCGCAAGCAACAACAACAGGTATTGTTGCTGTACAAACAAGAGCCAGCTTCCAGCCGATGGCCAATGAGACTACTATACCACCGACAATGGTGGAAATGAAGGTCAATATGCCTCCCAGGACCGGGCCGCCCATACCAGCAAGATCGTCGGTACTTTTTGAGAGTACGCTCGAAAGCGCACTTGGTGAGTTTTTGGATTGATCGAAGAAAGCCATGTCCTGTACTGTTATACGATGGCAACAGATCTCGCGAACCCGCTGGGACAGCTTTTGCGTTGCGCACGACAGAGTAATTCCGAGCCCCAGCCAGAGTATGAATCCCGCCCCCGCAAGGGCGACATAGAGACCGGTCCACAGATTAACGCCATGTCTCAGCTGACTGTACTGCGCTTGAGGCAGCCCAGTGATTGTTAGTAGCTTTGCAAAGAATATGGATTGGCTGGAATCAATCAGTCAACACCTGCTTAAGGGCAAAAAATATGGAGGTATGAAAAGGTACGCACACTGGGATTTCCAACCCTGCAAGTATTGCACATGCAAGACCAATTAGCAGAAGCTTCCAGTCGGGTCTACTCATAAAGAAAATGAATGATAATGCCCCTCTAGCGCTTGGGTTGTAAGAAGTGTCATTGGGCGTCTCCACAACACGGGCAGTAACAGATGCGCCATTCTTTTCATCATCCGAATTGGAACCATGATCCAGACTATCATTCAGCATGATAATACCCTCATCATACGTGTGTAATGAATTTGATGCATCTTGTCCATTTTCTTTGATCTGTTGCTTCTCGATCAACTCAGCATATAGCCCATTTCGGGCCATCAGCTCGACGTGAGTCCCTTGGTCTACAACTTTGCCCTGAGCGAGTACAACAATTGAGTCAGCATTCTTAATGGTGGATAATCTGTGAGCAATGACAACGGTTGTACGTTGCTCCGCTGCAGCGTCAATAGCTGCTTGTACAGCTTTCTCAGACGATGTGTCCAAGGCGGAGGTTGCTTCATCCAGAAGAAGAATTTTTGGGTCTCGAACAAGAGCACGGGCAATGGCAATCCTCTGTCGTTGCCCCCCTGAGAGCTGGAGCCCCTTTTCGCCTACTCGGGTCTGGTAGCCTTCAGGTAATGCCATGATAAAGTCATGCGCATACGCCTTCTTCGCAGCGTCGACGACTTTCTCAAGTCGCGCGCTTTCCGAGGCTGCATCATTCACATTGGAGCAACCGTAATATATATTGTCAAGTATGGAAACGTCGAGGAGGATCGGATCCTGATCAACTAGGCCTATCTGCTGCCGGAGCCAGCGCAGGTTGAAGGCTTGGATATCTTGCCCGTCGATAGCTGTAATCCAATTAACAATTTGTAAGCCTCGTAGATGCACTTTTACACGTACTAATTGCCCCATGTGTTGGCTCATAGAACCTTTCGATGAGACCAATAATGCTACTTTTACCTCCCCCAGAAGGTCCAACTATGGCCGTCTTCTTGTCCGCGGCGAATTTCAAAGTGACGCGGTCCAACACTTTGGCCTGACTTCTCGATGGATAGACAAGATCCACCTGATCGAACAGGATGTCGCCCACAACATTAGTTAACTTGTCACCGTCTGCGACCAAAGGATCTTGTGGAGACCTTCTAGCAATAGTCTCCAGTAGTGACCCAGTAATAGCGACCCCAGAAGTCAGCGCTTGCAAGGATGGTGCGATTCTAATGATGGCGAACACGCCGATTGTTACAGCCAGTGTAGTTGTTGTGATATCAGTCACAGACATCTCGCCTTTCACCAGAAAGATTGAACCTGCCCAGAATGAGAGCGCATAGATAAGGCATGGCATGGCGTTCATTGATGCCACAAGACCCGCTACCATGTTCTGTGCTTTTCTTTCTGCTTGTGCGGCTTGACCTAGGCTTAGAGAATAGCGTTGTCGCACGAAATTCTGCATCCCGAGGCCGCTACCTGTCTGATAGCACCGAAGGCTTCTTCGGGGATACCAGCTGCGTAACTGTACCTTTCCCGGGATTGCTTTTGATGCCTGACAGTATATGCACCACCGACGGAAAACATCAGGAGCATTGCGACGAAAAATGGAGTTAAAATCAGAGCAGTTTTCCAGTACATGACAAAGGCAATAATGAAAGCCGCACAAAATGTGGCTATTGCGCTCAGCATGGTCGAAGCTTTACTTGTTATAGCTTCCTGGAGGATGCCCATGTCGGACATGATGCGGTTCGAGATCTCACCAGGACGCAGAACATCAAAAAAAGCCATATTCTGGCGTATGATAGCAGAAAGGTATGCGATTCGAAAGGCCCTCGTGATCCGCTCCCCGCTGTAATAGAATCCGACCGTGGCCAGGTACGTAAAGACGAAAAGGCCGATGCTAAGATACACGTAGTATAGACTGAACGTCGAGATTTTCGACCGCAGCTCGGCAGCATCTACGGATCCCGTCGCAAAACCGTTGAAAACGCCCACGAGGAGGCCATATATAACCTGTGAGAAGACGCAGTGAGCGAGAGTGGTTGCTTGGGTGAGCAAACGAATGGCTCAGACGTACGGGAACGAGCGGGTTTAAGGCACCTGCAATAATCGCGCAAACTGAACTGAAGCAAAGGATAGTCCTGTCGAGCTTCGTTGCATAGGTAGCTATTTTCAACCTTCCTCTATCCTCACTGCGGAGACCATTCAATTGCCTTTCGAGCACAGTCTGCATGTGCTCTTCCGAACTCATATCGACTTGCGATGAGGCCATGGCTACTCGTCCTATACCAATTGCTTTGGAATGGAAGCCAATAAGGCACAATTTTTGCCAGCAAGGGGTGTAGAGGTAGCTCGAAGCGCAATCTGGCACCTGACTGTAATTGCTGGTTCCCTGCTAGATGCCTTTACTAATCCAATGGCCGTAACTAATGTTAACATTGACAGAATTCATGCGTTGGTCACCGATATTATTCGATATAAACGCCGATTGTTTACGGGCACCGAACGGACCGACCAACAAACTGAGGCTCGGTCAAGATATACTTGCATGCGTCATGCAACTCGTACAGTACCAAGTAACGCTCGATTCGAAATGGGGGCTAGAAGATATCAATAGTTAGTTAGCAGACGTCTTATCTAAGATGATTGATGAATAAATAATTCTGTGTAGGTGGTGCTGAGGCCATATTTATACGGCCGCGGAATCAAAGCAATTGGAAAGACAGTGATCAGACACTAGGTCTATTTAGGCAGCTTCAACAAGTAGTTGGAACGTTACTTACTATATTTGTTATTGATTCTCCATCATATCTATACCTTTAGCTAAACTTCAGGAGCTCGAGAGACAAGGTACTGTGTGAAAATGTCTGTCGAATATCCCAAGCCAAGCGTCTTTGCGTTCCCACTCAAGCCTAAGGAATATGCGCCGGCGCTTTGCCGTCTCTCGAAGAATGGAAGAAGCTATGGGCGGCGTGGGATCTCGTGACCACCAAGATGATCCCTGCCAGTGCCTTGATGGAGAGGCCGATTCCCCTCCGTAATCCCCTCCTGTTCTATCTGGGTCACATTCCAGCATTGTAAGTCTTGCTCGTCGTTCACCAAGATATATATCGTGAACTGACATAATCGGTTTTATCAACTAGTGAAGATATACACTTGACGCGGGCCACCGATGGCAATCCGACTGAGCCAGCTATTTTTCATGATTTCTTCCAAAGAGGCATAGATCCCGATGTGGATGACCCGACCAAATGTCATGATCACAGCCAACTGCCAGAGTCATGGCCTACACTTGAGGAGATCCTTGACTACCGGGAGAGAGTCAATAAAAGAATTACTGCGCTGTACAACGATCCCGACACAATGAGCAACCGAACCATCATGCGTGCACTCTGGATCGGGTTCGAGCATGAAGGTTAGTGAAAAGAAGGCCCTATATGTCGTAGCTCTGAGCTTACAGTCCTATAGGACTCCATCTCGAAACCTTCTTATACTTGACCGTACAAAGCCCATCTGTCTTGCCCCCACCTGGACCGACACCCGATTTTGAGGCAATGGCAAAGAAAGCCTTCTCTGAACGCGTGGAAAACCGATGGTTCGGGATTCCCAATCAGACATTTACAATTGGCTTCGATGACCCAGAGAGTGATGAAGGGCCAAACCGATTTTTTGCATGGGACAACGAACGCGAGCCCTACTCGGTCACAGTGCCAGAATTCGAAGCGCAGGCGCGCCCAGTGTGCAACGAGGAGTATGCCAGATATCTGTTCACTACTGGCAAGAGAACGGTTCCCATTACCTGGACTCAAAGCCCGAGTGTATCGCGGACAGCATCTGGGAACGCGACCGTCAACCAAGTAATGACCAACAGAGGCGATGATGGTTTCGCACAATTCATCGACAGCCAGGCCATCAAGACGGTATATGGTCCTGTGCCTTTGGCATTGGCGCTTGACTGGCCTCTCATGGCTTCATACAATGAGGTTGAAGGGTACGCCGAATGGGTCAAAGCGCGTATTCCTACTTTGCATGAGGTGCGAAGCATTCATGAGTATGTCGAGAAGCAGAAAGTGAAGCGCAATCCCCCTTGCAACAACAGTAGCCCAAGACTGCAACCCGATCCCGAGGAGATCTTTGTAGATTTGACTGGCTGTAATGCTGGCTTGCAGCATTTTCACCCCGTCGCCGTCACTCAAAATGGCAATCGGATCTCTGGCTTGGGGGATATGGGTGGGGCATGGGAGTGGACTAGCTCGGTGTTTGCCCCGCAGCCCAATTTCAAGCCCATGGACATTTATCCTGGCTACAGTGGTACGTATATTGCTTATGGCTCTGTAGCATACAATCGCTAACGCATGACAACTGCAGCGGACTTCATGCACGGGAAGCACAAGGCCGTCGTGGGTGGATCCTGGGCCACCCACCCGCGGATTACAGGACGCAAGTGTTTGTGAGTTTTTGTTCCTTCAAGTACGGTGGCCAGCTAATTAACATAATCCTCTAGCTTGAACTGGTGGCAAATGAACTATCTCTATCCTTGGGTTGCTGTTCGTCTTGTGCGCGACACAGTAAAGGCTAGATGAACAGGGTGAAGACTGAGATTATAAGATTAGCATGCCCTACTAGAGTGGTGTTGGATATAAACTCAGCACAGTGCTTCCCCTCGCTTGATCAAATGTTCGTTCCAGCAGTTCTTGCTCGTAGCCTCTTTGGCGATTAACGCTGATTTGGGTGACAAAAGTGCGTCTTTCTAGCATCTGTTGTGATCCTCTTAGAGCGTTGGTCTGTATGCATTCTATTGGCCAGTGCTGATAATGGCTGGTGATGCGTAACCCTAACCTCTTTAGAGGCTAACTAGACATGGGGCTTCCTCTGTAGTGCCAGGCGCATTAAAGGCTTGGTCGAGTTTTCAGAGGTGTTGTCCGGTACGGTCACCGAAAAGGCTGCCGCACAGAGCTATTACTCGCTTGGCTACTATCGGTCCGATATGGGCGATTGCTCTTGGCTTCCTTTTCAAGGCTGGGCCTAGTTGTATGCTTCGTATCGGTCCGTACGTGTGTTTTTCAAGTGCCAGCCTACTGTCTCAGCTGGTGCCTGAAAGTGAATCCTGCAGTGCCCCCTGCTCCCATCCACACTTGGCACATAGTTTTAGTCAGTTTCAACGAGAAAGCCATAGCCTATATCCCAGTCTACTTCAACCTTCAAAGTGTTGCCATCAATTCAAGAACAGTCAACTGCTCAGTTTCATCTGGATTATGTACAAATATGGCTATTCCACGACAGATCATCATCGTCGGCTCGGGTGTCTTTGGCCGTAAGTATGCCTTTAGGTAATCAGCTGAAGAGATGACTGACATGTGTAGTATCCACGGCGTACTACATGAGCCGAGACGCCACGTTTGCCAAAAGTAGTATCATCCTCCTGGATGCCTGGGACTTTGAGCCGGACTCCCAATCGACTTCCGTGCATAATCCTGGAGCAGCAAATGCAGACACATCGCGCATCATTCGTCGTGTCTATCCACAAGGCCCATACGCCGCGCTCGCAGATGAAGCTGTGCAGCGCTGGCATGCAGAGTGGGGCAGAGATGGCAGATATGTCGAGCAGAGACTATTATTTGCTGCAGAAGGCTCTTCTATTGAGTCTCCCCGACAGCGCGACGAGACCGTTAATTATATCAAGGATGCCTATGACACTAGCTGTGAGATGACTCCTGGGGGTGCTGAGTCGTTGGAAATCTGGGATTCACTTGATAGGATACGTTCAGAGCTTCGGCCGTCTGGGAAGCCATCTGGAAACGGTCGTAACGCGCAAGACAAGCAGCAGGAAAGGTCATTGAGAGGGTTCATCTCGAACGACTGCGGCTGGGCCAATTCTGGGGCAACCATGGAGTGGTTACGACAAGAAGTGGTTCGCATGGGTCGTGTCGAGCGTCGTGTCGGCGAAGTGCAGAATTTGCTTTATTCGAATGAGGGAACCCGAGTCAACGGGGTCCGACTTCGAGACGGGGCAGAAATTATAGCTGATCTGACGATTATTGCCGCAGGCTGTCACTCCGCACGCATCCTGGGCGTGCCAGAAATGTGTAGTGTCGAGAGCGCAGTCGTTGCATACATCCAGCTCTCCGAGGCCGAGAGCGAAGAGCTCAAGAAGAGAAACTGGCCGTTGATGATAAACACCCATCGCGGAGTATTTTGCGTTGGACCAGACCACGACAACTGCTTAAAGTTGGGGCAGTGCTCAACCATGAGCAAAAAGGAAATCTTGAAAAGCGCTTCTCTCGCCGTTGGGCCGCAAACCCGCTTCTCAGAACCCGTCCATCAGCCTGACTGGGAGAATCCCAAGGTTGGCTGGGGGTGCAATGTCATGCTATCTAGTCAAGGCGATGTTGTGGACCCCGAGAGCGCTTCGATCAACAAGACTTTGGCCGCTTTCCGTTTATTCCTCCTGGAGCTACTTGGGCCGGTAGATCTCGGAGGTTTTGACATTTTGGAATCAGATGACGGCCTACTCAACAATATCGCCGTCCGACCATTCGCTCGGGTGCATAAGTGCTGGTACAATGACACGCCGACATATGATTTCGTAGTTGATTATCATCCTTCGTACGATAGGAGTCTATTTGTCGCCTCGGGAGGCTGTGATCACGCGTTCAAATTTCTACCGGTTTTGGGGGAAAAGGTGACGTCCATACTCCTTCACCATCTGGGCGTGTCTAGCTCTTCCACACCAATAGATTCTTCGATAGAAGAGCTGTGCAAACTTTGGAAGTTTCCGGCGCATCTCGTGCACTAAAACCTTATCGGGTGCTCACAGAACGTGGATATGAATCTCCATCACCTGAATTCGAGATAGAGTCTAAAGTTCAATTCTTTTATTCATATCAATGTTGGTTGTTGTAAACGTTTCATTTCTTAGCAAGACGCCATCTAGACCACGTTACGTGATAGCTTGACCATTCGGCCAATGACGTTTCTACAACACTTGTTATGTGTGATTTCTCACTTGCCAAGGTCTTGTGCCTCGTGGTGACTGCAATGCTATAGTTTTAGTACCCTGTTATACGGGTTCAACTCAAATCCATCGATCTGCAACCATGCGATAGCCAATGGCACTGTTGGCGGGGATCGACCCATGCCACCCAGTATCGGGGCGAACAAGCTGCCAAACGATTGGAGGGTAGATGCATGATAAGAATGGACACGATTGAGGACGCCTATAGGTCAGAGCGACCAACAGAGCCGAAATACAGGTTACAGGACTTTTGCGCGGTGGGGAGGGACACAGGGCACCCGACGACTAGGATGACTGCATATCTCTGGTGGAATTATCGTACATTCGCCGTTCCTAGAACCAAAGTACCGTGAGAAGCCGAAGCTTGGCGACGCGTCAGCCGTGAGCCAGGCCCCCCATGTCATCTGGGGTAAAACTGGCGTTATAGAAGCGGCAAAGGGCGAGTCGAGATCAAATTGAACGTTTACGCTGACGGCATGAGCAGTAAAGAGACACACGCCAATTAAATGCGTGGCTGTGTCCGTCGGACCCCGTCGCATGTAACCCCATATACAGAAGGATGCCGTACGGTAGCCAGGTGCATGCACCAATCCCCGAGCGGCATATAAGGCCAAAAGGGTACCACGGCGCCGAGGAAGACGGATTGCAGTTCCGTGAGCGATCTTTGCCTATCGTACGTCTCCACACACGCAAATTGAGTTAAACACTGCTCTCCGCCTAACAAGATGACCACTGGCGCTCGCCCCAAGGAGGAATATGTGGCAGAGCCCCAGTTGCTTCCGGCATGGGTCAACCCGGACCTGGATCGTCTCATGGTCGTGCACAAGGAAAGGGACGGCAGCTACTTCCGGTCGTGGGCCGAGTCCAAGGTCGACTTGCCCGCTGGAGCCGTCTTTGCCCGCATCAACGGTATAACACCTACTTCTCAGCAGGACTACGCCACGGTGCAGAGTGGGCCCAACACGCACTTTGTCTGGAACTCCGATCTCTACTACTGTAATCATTCCTGTGCGCCCTCGCTTGAATGCGACACGTCGACATGGGAAATGAGGGTGAGTCGCGACAGGCCGCTCAAGAAGGGCGACGTATTATCGGTGTTTTACCCGAGCACGGAGTGGACTATGGACCGCGAGTTCGAGTGCTGGTGTGGTGCTGGGGAGGGCAAGTGCTGTGGGATTATCAAAGGGGCTAGAGATATGAATGACCGCTGCTTGCAGCGATTCTGGCTCAACGATCATATCCGTGCGCTGCGTAAACAGAGGGCAAATATTCCGCATTTATAAAAGATTACTGGTAGTAAGATATATCAGGTTCGTGTCTCTTGTCTCCCTGCAGCCTGATCAGTGGAAGCAATAGAGTTCCATCTTGACTTTTTTTTAGTTCTCAACTAATCCGGGGAAAAGTGGATGGAAAAGGGGGGTCTACGGGTAAGCCCTAAGCGGGTCGCAGTGTCAAGAAGGCGGTCAAAATAATCGGCAAAATACACGCAATGAACTATATATACAATGTAAAAGTTAGATTCAAAGCTCACCAAGTGGTCATATCAGAAACTGAATGTAGGTTGTGCTGGTTTACCAAGCCCTTGTGTTATGATTTGCCACTGAGTTAGCCTGCTTTGATTGGTGAATATCTGATGTTTATACTAATCATCATAAGACGATCCGGAGGCCCGTCCCACAAACCGCTCTTCTAAGTAAGGTTAACCTCCAGTAGTGGTCCAGACCACAGACTCCCGAATAGGAAGTAGTTAATAATAACATACAGTACATAAAAACAAGGGGGCTTTTGCTTACATCTTTACTGAATCATTGACTTTTATCTTGAAAGGTCTTTTAGTATATCTAAAGGAGCGTCATAGACAGTGCGCCATTTACATAACCAATACAACCAAACAGCCCTCGCTAGAAATAGTGTTGGACGCCGGGGGCCAGCACTAGTCCAAAATAGTTATGCCAGGGGAACAGGAGCCTTAGAACCTCGGCCGCTGTGGCTGAAGTCTTCCTGTCGAACTCAATTTCTAGCTAAGTGAGCAATTTCTTCTTCAGAAGTATATAGACGTACCTTAAACGGAATATGAATGTAGTATTGACGAAGGACAGTATCACGTCAGCTTGTCTAGCGGAGTCCCTCTAGTCTATACTAAACTGGAATAATCTACTGTGGCTTAATATGCCAGGCAGACGGGATCTAGAGCTTCGGAATGTTGGATGGTTTGACATTGTCTGATAATGGTCTCGCAAAGGAAAGATTTCAAGCGCGCAAAGCATAGAAGGGGCCCGTGATAGCGTCGGTTGACATTGGAGCATGTTGTGGCGAGATTATGAAACGATACTAGAAAAATGAGGAATAATCTGTCGGCTCTTAGCTTCGACTCTTCCTTTCCACTATGATAATTTGAACATTCGACTTTTAACAAAATTCTCAAGGTCTTACGCAAAAGAACCCCACCGCTGACCGCTGCCCGCCTAACCGCCAGGCTAGCGGGGTAGGTTGTATACATCCTTGTCGGCGTTGATATCACTTCCCGAGAAGACGAATCACACCATTCTCCCCGGATGCGGCGCTGCTTGGTTGTCGTACAGGCCAACAGAAGGCTTGTGATACAACCAATGACTGGCTGATAGTCATCATGGATGTTTGCTGCCGTCGTCCTGAATATTGGGCACGTGATGCATAGCAAAAGTACTAGATGACCAACGTCTTCATCACAACGATCAAGGAGACCTATATCATTTCATCGCATTGAGAACGCATTGGACCTGATCGGAAAACCTGGAGTCGACCGCTGCTCCTACCCCCTCCCGAACTTCAAAACACCGGTGGCAGACATGGATAGTATCGTTGCTGGGCAGCGTTTACGTTCAGCATGCAACGAATGTCACGCATCAAAGGTACACTTGTCCCACTAGCTTGTCACGCAAGCGACGGTCCAACTGACGACACGTTTGACAGGTTAAATGCAGCGGCGAAAGAACAGGTTGCCGGCGATGCATTAGCGCCGGTACGTGATTTGTGTTGCTTGGAACCCAATGAAGCCCCTTACCGATCGCTTCTAGGATATGACTGTCAGTTTGAAGTCTCCATGGTTGGACGGTGCTCCAAGGGACGCCGACGCCGCAAGCGTGGCTCGGACTCAAGCCCGACGGCCACGGAGCGAACGGGCCCCACGGCACCGCATGGTGTAGGGAATAGCACTCAAACGGGAGCCTTCCGACATTTGCCAGCGTCTGCAGACTCGTCTACCGGTGCGGACCGTGTCCCCATCGACATAGATCTCACCCCACTTCTCAACTGGGACTCTGGCACCGGGCCTGATCCCGCTGGACTGTGCGCCGACGGGGATAGTAACATGTTGTTTGCTGACCACAACGCAACAACAACGGGTGATGTATTCGGGGTTGCTCTGAACCAGCTTGACGTCCCGAGTCCGACGGAAGACTGCACTCCAGGATTGCATATGGCCTTCGTTGCATCCTCCACTATTGACCGTGTCCATACAACGTTGCCCCTTACACCTTATGCAACTACGGCAAGCACAGCGACTCCCCGGACTTCCGAAAACATACTGCAAGAACAGATAACAAACGCCCCAGTCAGCTCCGACACACACACCGGTATTCACATCCTCTTTAATGTTATAACGAATCTGGAGGCTGAAATCGGCGACCCTGGCTCAAAGATTGATAAGGTCATGCATACCGTAAAGACAAGCACCAAAGCTGTTCAGCGCGTGACACAGTCCAGACAGTGGCAACTAGCTGTAGTCGGTCCGATGCTGGCGCTTGTTGCCATCGAGGTGGCATTGATTTTGATCGAGAACATTGTCTCTCGGTGGAGCGGCAGCACAAATGCGAATCTGAATAGTTATTCTATTAACGACCAACAAAGTCCACGCGCCTTACTACTTGGTGAATATAGGGCCGAAAGCGAGGAGGCCGCTATGATCTGGAGACATGTTATAATAGTCGAGCTTCGGCGCTTACGTAGGCTGATTGAAGCACTCGGGGTCTATCTTGATGACTCGAGTCGCTGTCAGAATGGCCAGCGACCGGTAGATCGTCTAAAGAACTCCTGCGCTTATCAAGAACAGAAAGTAGCATTACTCCTCACTACTTTACAGAGGCAGGAGGAGATAGTCGATGATGGAACAGGCTCCGCGTTCTAGAAGTAGCCTTCGAAGATAATACATTAAAAGATGAAGAAGGTTGGGTTGACCGGCTCGGGATTGGACCATAAATTGCAGTCTCGTGATACCTCCAACTTGGACAAAAAGATTCTGACAACCATCCTCATCGCGACGTGTTTGAATGCCATCTTTCAGTTGGGTTGCTACTTTACAGACCAAGTGATCATTTCGTGATGTTATTGTTACATTTATCTTCCAATTTTACGGGACAACGGTCTTCTTCCAGATACAACAATACCTGTCTCTATATACCTTACTGTCTTTCGATTACTTTGTGTGTGTGATGTTTCCGGCTTCGGCCGCCTCTGAGGCAAAAGATCTTTTCATGATCACTGCTCTTCAAATAAAAGTATATCTGACTGCCTCTCGAACTTCTTTGGCAATATTCAATGCCTCGTCGCGACTATTCCGCGAGAAAACATTGAAGTAAGCTAGAAAGGTGTTCCGTCCAGTGCTTGGATGTGGGACAAGTTGTCCTCGCTTTACAAGACAACCGCATTTACTAATGAATGCTTCGAGATCAGGTCTTCTTGCAATGAGGTCCGCACAAATGTCCTCCGAGTCAAAGATACCTTTACACGAGGAGGGGAAATCGGCCGGAATGAAAACCATCACACTGGTGTATTGCGGTCCCTTGAGGAATGGGCGGGCAAGAGCGCGAACGCGAGTCTTATCACCCACGGCGGAAAGTAATGCTAAGCCCCAGTAGTCGATTCCGTACGTGGATTCAATAATTTGGGAGCCTGTCATCCCTAGAGGGCGAGGGTTGATCTCGATGAGCCATGCCCTTGGTGTACGATTACTGTGACTGCTCCGTGGGGAGAGCACCATAACTCCGTCCTTCGTCATATACTCGACCACAGAGTTCTCTATGCGTCCCTCCAGGTGCATGACCCCGCTCCTTAGGCCAAGTGACAATAGCATTTCCAGAAAGGTGTCACGCAGAAGCTTGATCTCTGCCTCAGGAAGCTTTGAGGGATAAACGCTGCACAGCTCGTGAAAGTTGGTTAAAGAGCCAAGGCTTGGTCCATTGACATCGGCTGACTTTGGTAAATCATCGCACACCTCGAAGAACAGCAGCTCTCCATCCTGTAGTACAAGGTTGACATCGACCTCGGGTCCGTCGCAGTAGGGCTCAATGACGAACTCGGGTCCGTGACGGGAAGTGATAATCGCGGTTACTGCATCCTCAAGGGCGCTACGTGAATCGACACGGTACACCCCTTCAGAACTCCACCCCCCACATGGTTTTATAATCAAAGGATAAGGGAGGTCGTGCTCCTCAGATATCGAGACAGCTTCAGCGAGACTCGATGCACGATAGGCTTGGTGGCCGGCGAATACACTTGTAAGGTACTTGTTTGTCGCAATCCTGAAGCCCTCTGGCGACGCGGTTGGCAGACCCAGAACATTGGCGGCCTCGGCAACATAAGGCCAATAGGTGTCCGCAAAAGTGACGATGCCATCCACAGGCTTACCGTATGCCCGCAAAGATGCGAGGATGTGGTCCTTCATATCACTTTTTGGAGGGTTAGTAAGTTGTGTTGGAATGAAAGCCTCACGTATATGGGCGTTATCAGGCTTTCAAGCCAGTGTCCAGCACTATCCAAGACAACGAGACTGATTCCTAGAGCCGCAGCAGCAGTATAGAGCCCAAGTCCATCTTCCGGGTGGGAGCTGTTCGCTTCGACAAGCACGAGAGTTCTCTGACGGGCCGTCTCTGGAATAATCCATGGGAAGGAGAGCCGATTATCAAGCTCTTCATCCAACTCCCAGGATACAGCCTCCTGTTCAGCCTGGGGCACCGGACGCACAAGTATGCAGGCTGCAGCTGCAGCAAATAGTGCTGGCAAGGAGATGTCATCCTTGTCAAGGATTACAATAGGGGCGGCTTCACTTTCGTAGCGTTGTAGTGGTTTTGTAAAGGATCTGATTTGCTCAACAAGCAAACAATCGTGAAGACGTATATTGATAATGTCCGACCGCACTATGTATCCCTTTGCTAGTGGGACGACTAGTTTGATTAATCGCTCTTGACCTCGTGCCGCCGGCGCTAAGAGAGTCTGCACGAAGAATTCGTAAGCGTCTGCTGCGCCAAAGGATTCTGCCTCGAGTTGCCTCGATTTGTCCTGATGAACAACGACAACACGTAGGTCGTTGGTGCTCCTGGAAAGGCTGGCCCCTCCCACCGTGCATACGCCATGAATGTTGGTAAGCGCAATGTCAATAGACTGCCACTGGTAATTTTCGCGGTATGATGTTCGCAGAACTCGCCATGTGTGCTCACTGAGTAAGACTGCTCACATTCAGTTCTAGAGACCAGACCGCGCATTAAACATAACTCTTACCGTGTTGGTTCCATATCTGAACTATGTGAGAGTCTGCCATGGTGAGATGCACTCATCAGATCAAAAGCCGATCTGCAGGCTCCGGAGATGTGGTGTTAACAAAGCGTTAGATCGGATGAAACTGGTGGGGGTATTGATACTACCATCGCGGTGGCGCTGAGGCCCTCTTTATGTAAACTGCCTATGAAACAAAGGAATCGAAGACAAAGGGAATAGAGAACAAAGAGACAGGCGTGGCATGTGCTTAGTAAGGCACGGTGACCGAACGTCATTTTATTATAAAATCAGTGCATGGTTATTCCAATTTATAACTGTTCGACCGCGAACTACAAGTCAACTAACGAGTCCTTTTCAGCGCTAAATTCTTGAAGCTAGGTATAGTGCAGTTTCAAACAAGACAGAACACTTTTCCCCCTATAACTGAGAACAGAGAGAGGTCTAAAACCGGGAAAAATGAAAGTCCAATAGAGGTGACTTATTCAACAACCTATGATCAGCCGAGCCCGCGAAGAAGCTTATGAAGCCGCCAGTAACCGAACAACGAACACAACTACTATACACAGACTAATCATAATTATTTTATTTCATTTATTCATAACACTAAGAATATTCTTAACCCTTGATCTTTCAATAACTAGTAAATCTGTTGCTTATTCAGAATAGTAATTCATGTTACACCCTCTTTCTGACACATATATATCTCATTGTATACAAGGAATATAGACCAATCGATAATGCTAGTAGTAATTATATTTTCCATTCACGCATCTACATCTCTTTCTCAAGGAACACATCTATAGAGCATATCTAGTGGAAGGTGCCTGAATGATGAAAGCTAAACTCAACCCTAATGTCTCCTGGTTGAGTCGTGACCTTCTAGCAGCGGGCCGAGCAGTCACAGATTCACGGATCCCGAATTTAAACACCGAGCCAACGGACCGAGAATTGACATTGGAAAAAAGACGATTCAGGGACAACATAATAATTTACGTCGTTGGCGACATCCTTATCCTTGACTAAGGCCGCAGCGTGTTCCCACGAAGTCCACCCAGCAGCCTGAGGGTAGACGAAGTCGCCTACGCATTGAACGATAATGGCAAAACCAACACCCCCGTTATCTCAATATGACCACGAGATGGAAACGATTCCTGGTAATTTGCCTACAACCAAGGCAGGAGCAGACTCGAAGGTTCTCTTGACGAGGCTCTCACAATTTCACCACTCTTCCCGCTCAGCCCCTCCAGCGACTTCCGTGACAGAACAACGCGATGGCATACTCAGGGCATGGGCCATGTTGCTTCACTTGTATCTTGTGTCTGACACCGTTGCGTTCGCTGTGGTTGGCATGGGAAGTAAAAAGCTGGCATGCTCGCAGTGGCCAGTGTCTGTTCCTCAAGGTTCGACGTTCTACTCTGATCCTCGACTGACGTACACTCCTTTCGAGGCCGACAAGCATCGTAACCAAGTTAATACCGCTGTCGCCTTTGCTGACATTGACGTTGATGATGGCATATTCAGCTATATTGTGCAATCATCTGAAAGGTTGAATCGAGATCTACGATTGTACACCCAGCACACATGCGTGCCACGCAAGTTTGCATCCGCGTTATGGAACACTCTCCTCGAGATACATTCAGATTTGGTGGATTCGGCTTCTTACAAATGGCACAAACAGTCAGTTAGTGATATAGACAAGAAAACACTACGGTCATTCTTGCCTCATACGTCGTTTGAGCCACGGATTTCTGTGCACGATCTCTGGCGTGAATCGGTCCGAACGGCCCCTCTTGCACCAGCCGTGGAATCATGGGATGGTGCCTTGACATACACAGAGCTGGACGGGCTAGCCTCCAAGCTTGCGCATCTACTGCTATCTAAAGGAGTGCAGAGGGGCAATTTCATCCCCTTCTCATTCGAAAAAAGCATTTGGATGGTTGTCGCGATGCTGGGCATTGTCAAAGCTGGAGCTGCCTTTGTGGCCATTGATCCATCGCAGCCAAAAGCACGAGCCGAAGAGATCATCGACCGAGTCCAGGCAAATATCATCTTGGTCTCCCCATCGCAGGCTCCGACATTCGCCGACATGGGTAAAGCCACGCTGACAGTTTCTGCAGATAACCTGGAAGGTGAATATGATACCGCCTCACCTGGCCGATCGCTTCCTCATGTCAGGCCAGAAGACCCTGCAGTATGCATTTTTACCTCTGGCTCAACTGGGAAGCCCAAGGGAATTATCGTCCAGCATCAAGCACTCGCCACTCGCTTACTGGCAGAGGGCGGAGCCCTTGGGTACCGGGGGTCCAGGTGTTTGCAATTTGCTGCATCTACGTGGGACATATTCATCACCGACGTCTTTGCAACATTGGCGTACCAGAGCTGCATCTGCATACCGAGTGAAGAAGATCGACTATTCAATCTCGCAGAGTTTTGTACCAAATACAAAGTAACCTTGGCGATCATGACCCCTTCATTGGCAAATATGCTGACGCCTACTTCATTCCCCACATTGAAGACACTCATATTCTCAGGGGAAGCCCTGCGAGCTGATGTGGTGGCACGGTGGTCATCACAGAGCGGTGTTTCGCTCTACCAAGCTACGGACCTGCAGAAACAGGAGGTTGCATCATTGGACGCCTTGCTCAGCGTGCAGAGATCCTTGGCCACGGTCTTAAAAATTATACTTGCGTACTTGTGGATCCTCAGAACCATGATCGCTTGGTACCTGTGGGAGCTGTAGGTGAGCTCCTGGTTGCCGGACCAGGCCTGCTTCAGGAATACATCCATGACCCCCCCAAAACGAATGCGGCCATTGTCGAGTGCCCCTCGTGGTGCTCAGACCTCCAAATCGATGAGACAAGATTTTATAAGACTGGGGACCTGCTCCGTTATAGTATCGATACGCTCGATGGAAGCCTCGAATTTGTGGGCCGTGCAGACGGTCAAGTGAAGTACCATGGCCAACGTATTGAGGTTGGGGAAATAGAGCATCACCTTAGTCAATTCCCCAATGTGACCTACTGTATGGTAGGTCTACCCAAAGAAGGACATTTGAGAGGCCATCTGGTCGCCGTGGCTCAAATCGATGGGCATTCCGGTCCTAATCACTCCAATATGAAGCTCGCGATACATAAAGATGTGGACCGCATTAGAGAGGAAATCAACGAGTTCCTGTTATCACGTCTACCAAAATACATGATTCCAAGCAAACTATTTGTCGTCAGCAACATGCCGTTCAACGCGTCGATGAAACTAGATAGGGCTGCTATCAATAAATGGATCCTGGGCATGCCGGCTGAACATACTACGGTGGCGGATCAATCGCTGCCCGCCACAGATTCCACTCAGCTGCTTCCCCATGAACGCACTGCAAGAGCGGTAGCTCAGCTGTATGCCAGTGCTGTTGCAGGAGAGAATGGTCCCCACCATCGGCAATTTGAAAATCGAGACTTCAAGCTACAGTCGGGTGGCATTGACTCCGTTCAGATTATGTCACTTTCACTTTCTCTTAAAGATAAATTCGGGGTCCAGATACCAATGGACGAAATACTAAGCTCGAGGTCAACTATACGCACAATCGCTTCTATTATAGACGCGACCGGAAGTCACCAAGTATCGAAAGCTGCGACCCAGGAAGAGATCAGTACAGAAAGCAACATAGACCTAATGCTTAGGTCGGTATTCAATTCTTCCGAGAAGCTGTATAACGACTCGGACATACATCATGTGTTCCTCACCGGGCCTTCTGGTTATCTAGGGATAGAGATATTGCGTCAGCTTCTCACACAGTCTACCTGCCAAATCTACGCGCTCGTTAGGGGCTCATCGGAAAACGCTGCTCGTGATTATCTCATACAGAAGGCAGTCACTGCCACATGGTGGAAAGATGAATACCTTTCCAGGCTTGAGATTTGGCTAGGTGATCTATCGCGGCCCCAACTTGGTCTTGATTCGGATCAATGGCGTTTGCTTCAGGGACTAGGTGGACAGGGAATTGATGCAATCATCCACAACGGGGCCAAGGTCCACTATCATATGGACTATGACAGTCTTGAGGCTACAAACGTATCGTCAACGATCCAGTTGCTCAAAGCGGTTAACAACCGTGAAAGGCCACTCCACAGCTTTGTGTTTGTATCTGGTGGGCAACAACTCAGCTTTGACGACGATGACGACGCCGCCAATATACAGAAGGCTCTTCAAGGATCTGGGTACGCACGCTCGAAGGCCATGTCAGAGCTTCTTGTAAAGAGGTTTGCTGATCATACGGAGAAAAAAGCCAAATATGTCCGAGTTGTCAAGCCGGGATTCATTATTGGCGATGCTAAACGAGGTATTGCCAGTAAGGATGACTTCATTTGGAGATACATCGCGGCCTCAATCGAAATCGGCGCCTACGATAAAGAAAGTGCGAATGGATGGCTCTTTTTGGCAGATATTTCCCGGGTATCGGAAACTATTCTTCACTGCGTGTTCGACCTTGAGTGCAAGCCAGTGGTTAAGGTCCTAGATGGCGTTCAGTTTCATGATATCTGGCTGCTTCTACAGGATGAATTTGACTACAATATACGGCCCGTGCTCCAGCAGGAGTGGCTTTCTAAGCTGCGTCAAAGTGTTGCCACTAAGCAAGAGAAACATGTTCTGTTTCCACTTATGCACATGTTTGAAACAGATGGCCAACCGCTCGGTGTGTCCAACGGACCAAGCTACCCGTCCGATGGTGTTAAAGAAGCCTTGCGAGCGAATATCAAACAGCTGATTGGAAGTGGGTTCTTTATGTTGCACGGCTTCCTTCCGACTCCCCCGTCCACCGATGAGGAAAGTGTGGAGGGCAGTATGGCACCAGTCCAAGACGCCTTTGATGTGCAAAGCGTACGCAGGCAATTTCCAGCCCTGCAGGGAGGCATCGTAGCGTTCAACAATGCGGCTGGGACTGCTGTGTATCAGGGTGCCATCGAAAGGACGCATGATTACATGTCTTCGTTTCCCATCGAGGTCGGACTTGATGATCCGCAAAGTCAGAAAAAAACAGAGGGTCTGATGAATAAGACCGCTGAATTAGCGGCATTCATGAATGCAGATTCTGATGAAGTCGGTAAGTTACATTCACAGGCTGTGCCATGCAGTTGTAGATAATCTCTTTGACCAGCAAGGCAGGCGGCTGACAAGAAAAAAATGTAGCATTTGGCCAATCGACGACCATGCTTCTACGCATTTTGGGCCAGGCACTACGACCGGCGCTGAACTCAGATTGCGAGATGATCGTCTCAAACCTATGCCACGAAGCTAGTGCAGCCGCGTGGATATCCCTTGCCAAAGATCTTGGTATTGCCATTAAATGGTGGGCGCCACCGGCGGGTGATGATCCTTGCCTTTCGCTGGAAACGTTAAAGCCACTTTTGACACCCAACACACGAGTCGTCGCTTGCAATCACGTTTCCAATGTTGTAGGAACCGTTCATCCCATTCGCAAGATTGCAGATGCGGTCCATAGCGTTCCTGGAGCCATCCTGATCGTCGATGGAGTTGCTTGGGCGCCTCACCGTCCGATCGATGTCAAAGCTTTAGATGTTGATTTCTACTGCTTTAGCTGGTATAAGGTCTTTGGCCCACATATAGCACAGCTATACGGCCGGCGAAGTGTTCAGAAACGTATGTTGACTGGGATCAGCCATTTCTTCCTTAGTGATTTCCCAGGACTGGACTGGCGCCTGCGGCTTGGTGCCCCTGCCTTCGAACTTGAGGCAGCTCTCGTAGCCATTACAAGGTACCTTAGCCAAGTCGGCTGGGAGGATATCATTGCACAAGAGACGGTTCTGCAAGAAGCGCTCCTATCCTACCTTCGACGGCACCCAAGCATATTCCGTATTTTTGGAGAGAAGTCATCGAATCCGGAGAAACGGGTGCCGGTAATCACATTCCAGGTGATAGGGCAGTCTTCTCGAGAGATAATGAACCGGATCAATAGAAAAACGCAATTCAGGATCGTGTCAGGTCATTGCTGGGCACCTCGACCGACGCACGACGTGTTGAACCTCGACGACAACGGCCTAATCAGGGTCAGCTTTGTGCATTATAACACTGTCGAGGAGGTGCGACAGTTCTGCGAGGCATTACAAGGGATCCTGAACCTTACAGACGATAGTAGTTGATTGCTTTCACTGTCACGTCTATCATTCCTGATGACCTGGACATACTTCCGTAGAAGCTAATGCCAGATTTGTCGCTAGTAGTGAAACTGAGTCCAAAAACCTGGACATGGTTATTAAATGCTTGCACTACGGGAAGGTTTGACTGGGCATACCTGAGCCTTTCGCGCAGCTTCGAAATCAATATCCCTGCACTAAAAGAGCTTAAGTGTCTAATTAATATCGCTGGCTAAATCATACAGCGCTTGAGGTGTATTTTTGGACGTATAGGTATATGTATATCATTAGAGTACCACACCTCAAGTTTGGCCCAATTCTGCGAGAAGCGCTAGGGCGGAAGATACCGAAAGTTCAACGTAAACAAGCTTCTTTCACGTATGTACATGTGCATTTGTACAAAGCAGAAGGGGTGTGACAGTGAGTACACAAGTTTCCCGCTAACTAATTAGTTGGCCTTCCATATATGCCACTAGTTATATCAAATCAGTACATACGACCATAGGGTGTGGAGAACAGGGCTTCC